TAATAATAATAATAATAATAATAATAATAATAATAATAATAATAATAGGCTCACCGTTCAAAACTCAACTCCACCGGCTGCGTTGCAGCTGCACCCAGTCTGACTGGCTGGTTGGGCACCTGAGCATTTGGCGCAGTGCACAATGTGGGCAGCCCCAACATTGCAGGGATAGTTATTACGGCTCTTGAAGTGTCTTAACTTGAGCGCCGAAGCCAAACGCACGCATGGCAGTGGGGCGCGTAGATACATACGCAACCCTCGCTTATAGGTTGATTGGCTCTTGTCCGTGCGCTTGGTACTATCATTTGCACCAAACCGTGCATCCTCCACTTATTTCTTGCAACCGTCAGCGCTCGCAGTAGACCATGGTACAGCGGTGCAGAGGCACTCCACGAAGGCCGGGACGGTAGCTAGATTCATACGAGTCTGAGGAACATTCAGGTGCGTATACCATAGTCGACTACGAGTGATACGAGAGGAGAGGGAGGCCATGGTGGATGTGCCGATGGGTGCAAGGTGGCTCACCTGAGGTGCATACCTCTCGCCGAACTCGTTCATCAATCTGATCAACTGTTGGGGCGACCCCCACTGAGGAGCAGACTCAGTCGCGGACGTCGAGCGATGTCGTCGCGTCTGACTTCTAATGGCGCAGCTCCGTCACGGCTACGTGGATCTATCTCGTTGACAGTTCGAAGTCTCTGATATCCGATCGACTTAAAGCGATACTTCTTTGATGCAGCTTGCTGATCAATGTGCCTTTAGCCAAGCTGCAGTAAAAGCGTATAGGCAGAGGTCCCCGTCTTGTGCAGTGAGCACACACCCTTCGGTGTTTAACAAAGAAGCACGACCTCGCAAGAAGCAAGAGTGCCTTCCTCTTCCCCCAACTCCAGACAGCGCGCTGCTCAACCACCATGGAGACGGTAACTTCGCCCAACATCCTCCGGATCCGCCAGGGCCGGATCGACCTCTCGTTCCACCAAGTCGTGGGCGAGGTGTTTGCATACGTGCTGTCGGATCCGCGCCTCTTCCTCTCCTCGTTGCCGCCGTCCCCCGATACAATTTCCTCCCTGCCTCTGGTGGATCTCTCTGTTTCATCTGCGCCGCACGCCGACGCGTTCGCTGCGCTGCAAAAGGGCGAAACGGATATCCTCGTGGGTTGGTTTGACGGAAGCCACGGCACGTACCTTGAGCCGTTTCAGAAGGACGTCATCGTGCTCGGCGACCCGTCCAAGAACATCAGCGCCTTGCCTGACGACGACGACGTCGCCGCTGCCGCCGCCTTTTCATCCCCGCCCGTCTACTCGCCGTACTGCATCTGGGGCGTCCCCTCCTACGTCCCTGAGGCGCTCGTCCCCGACGTTAGAAGCCTCGCCAATATCGCCATTGCAGCTCGTTTCAAAAAGGAGGAGGGGACAGAGAAACACGTCCTGCAGGGCATCGCGCCCGGCGCCGGCATCTCCCGCTTCAGCCGAGAGATGTTACACAAGTATGGCTTGAATGAAGCCGGCTGGGAGTTCCGCAACGGCTCGCAGGAGGACTGCTTTTCCGCATTCGAAAAGGCAGTGGAGAAGGAGGGTGCGTAGCGCTGTAAAACAGTTCAATTTGCAGCTTTGGGACTGCAGCTAACCGCTGCTGTTTCTTCAGAGTGGATCGTCATTCCCCTCTGGCACCCACAGTATCTCCACGCTCATCACAGTATCCGTGCACTCAAGGAGCCGCAAGGCCTGCTCAGGCCCGTCGATCACGCGCGTCTCGTCCTGCGCAAAGACTTCCTCAAGCAATTTTCTCCCCAGCAGCGCTCCGCCATCCTCGGCGTCCTGCAGCGTGTCACGCTTGGCAATGTGAGTGCGCATTGGCTCCGATCATTCCCATATCCTTCCTGGATACTGTGCTGACGCGCCTTGCTCTTCTTTGCAGTCCGCCGTCACGGAGATGGATAGCTACGTACACGTGGACAAGCTCGACTATCGCTCCGCTGCGCGCAAGTGGATCCGCGCGCACCAAGCCCAAGTTGATTCGTGGTTCGAGAACGGACACGTGGACATTGTGCAGCGCGCCACACAGCTAGACCAGTACCTCCTTGAGGATGAAGCCGCCATCACCGCCAAGCAGCACGCATACGCCATTCCAGCGCGCGCCCCAGCCGCTGCCGGCGCCTACAGTCCGTTCTCGACGTCGACCACCGCGCCACAGATCATCCATACGTCGTTCCAGCTGCCCTTTGGGCCGGATGGTAAGCTGGCATACGTCGGACCCATCCTACCAAACGATGCTTCAGCATCCAAGACGTCGCGCAAGACGATCACCGAGGACGAAGGCCTTGCTGCCGCCCGCCTCTGTGCCCTGAATCTTCTCGCCCAGCTCCGTGACGCAGCCAGTGGCGACCTCGCGCGCGTGCAGCTGCTGCGTCTTGAAGGTTACGTCGCGACGGCCGATGTCGATGGCCACTTTGTGAACGTGCCCAGGATCCTCAACGGCGCGTCACTCCTCATCCGCCATGCCCTCGGCGCGCAACGGGGCGCCCATTCCCGCACCGCGCTCACTCTGTCGACCAATCCACTCGATGTTCCCACCATGATTGGCGCAGTTGCCGAGCTGAGGTGGTAAGGCGCGTGTTCAAAAGATCATCTTACATACAGCGCATTCCATTTTACACAATCTCTCCAAAGGAGTAGGAGCAGACGCGTCTGTCTAATGATTGAGAACAGCTTGTTGAAAGTAATTTGAGACCTTCTGATTTTTGGCACAAGGAAGACGTCTTGGATCTGCGTCCGTGCACATGCTCACTTCCAGGTTTCGAGCGGGCGCCTCTGACGCCCGTGCGGCGGGCTAGCTAGCTTGAGCACTCGTATGGTGATTGGAAGACATCTATGATGGTGTACACTTGGCAATACACAGGCTTTTCCATTAAGCCCGAGCCTAGGAGAAAGGCAAATCTGATTGCACATACATAGATAGTGATACTTTTACAAACTCGTTCCAATATACAGCTGGGGTATGCGAAAATCTACAATGTCTAGCACACCTTATATTGAGCCCAGCTGGGGGAAGAAGCCGGTAATGGAAGCAGCGGAGACACTAGGCGGAAGTGCCGGGAGCGCGTCGCGCAAGCGATTGGTGCCGAGAGCAGCATACATGAGCGCACCACCGTCGACGCGTCGCAAGGCGGTGCGCATCTGGACGATGAGGTGCATTATGTTGTTGGACGAATCGGAGTACGCCATGTCCGTTGACTCGTTGTCGTCCCCCTCCCCGTCGCCATAAAGCGCGAGGCGCTGAGCGATGTTCGACGGGTTGGGTGTCACGGCTGTGCTGCCCGTGGGAACGACGATGCGTGCACGCAACAACGCGAGCAAGTGCTGGCCCATCCAGTACCATGGCATGACCTCCTGCAGGAAGGGCCTATTGCCGCGCGGTGGCGAGTGCTCCGCTGTAGATGCCTGCAGGCACGAGAGCCACGAGGTGAGTGTTTGCATCTGCTGCTCAACTGCTGCTGCCAGGGAAGTGTCGCACGCGACGAGGCTGCGGTCTATGGCTTGAAGAGACATGCTGGTGGTACTTCTGTCGTTACTGTTGATGGTGGCGGCTTCCAGCTGTTGTGAGAGCTGTTGCCGCGTCGCTGTGTCAGCATCGAACAGCCTGCTGATGTCGCTGCAGATAGTAAGAATAGCAAATAAGCGTTGCGAAGAGGCTACATCGCCGTCCGCCTTCTGCGTATCGACCTTCTCTCGGACATCTTGCGCGCCGTTGCGCAGTCGGTTGAACATGTCTGCGTCCTGCGCATTCCACAGCTCGTCGCTGTCAAATTCGGACAGGCTGGACAGCTCTCTCTTGTTGAGGGAGCTGGGCATGTTGAAGCAGATGCACCGAAGCGAGTCGACAACGTCTTAAAGGGACAAAGATGGGGTAAAGTGTTGTCAGTGGAAATGGCAGCGACAACATGCGTGCGTAGGATTCTGCTGAAGGACTCACAGACAGTCAAAAGCGTCCTCGCAGCTTCCTCTTTGGCAACCCAGGTGAGCCAGTCGACGTCGAGCCTTTTCGTCTTAGCATGCTTTTTCCTCTCCTGTATCAGCTCCCTTGCCACAGCAATGAGAGAGCCATGTGAGTGTTTGGCCGCGATCATGTGCTTGCGGCTCTCGCTGAACATGGCGACAAGCTGAATGAGGACAAGCGTCTGCGTGCGGCGGGTCAGCATGCGTATGCGGAAGAGAGCGGCATTGCTGCCATCGGCGGGAATGAACGGCTGGCTCTGCATGTCCTCCTGCAAAAAAATCTCTTTCGTCTATCAGAGGCCCAGCGGGGGAATTGGACCAGGTAACAGAAACAGTTCTAACGCACCACCGAGCGCAGCACGCGCTGTTTGAGCACACTGCAACCGTAATAATCGCATGATTTGAGCTTGGCCGGGCTTCTTCCTCGATCCTCGCCGCCGGAGGCGCTTTCGTCGTAGTTGCCGCCGACGATGGCCATGGCGCGAAGAAGGTCCTCGTCGATGGCGTGGAGATCAGCGGCGGTCATCTTGGTGGGCAGGTGAATGAACGGCAGGTGATTCCCAAAGTTGACGCGGTACAAATCCAGGTGCTGCGTCAGCGGCGTAGGCCAATCCTGTAGCGCTGACAAAATGCCGCTGTCGACGTCGTTGTTGCTGTTGACAGGAAGCTGCGTGAGGAGGGTGCTGCTGCTACTGCTACCGCTGCTGTTGACGGCATGCATGGCCATCGACTGCATTGATTGCGGTGCGAAGTAGCCAGAGCCAGGAGAGCCACTAGATGACGAGGCGGCAGATGTGGAGGTGACGGTGCTCGGCGCCGAGTAGCTGAGTGCTGGCTCTTGCTGCTGCGTCAGGATTAGGTCCATGACGAGAGCTGCGGCCGTAACATTGAAGTCTGCTTCTGATGCCGTCGCCATCTTGCCCGAATTGACAGGCTCCTCGCTGTATGCGAGAGGAGAAAGCGTATTGTCGAACCACGCTGGCAGCATGGTCGGATCCCAGTGGACAGAGTAATGTTGGGCTGGCGCCGCGAGCCCGGCATGCAACATTGGAGGCTGCGCCAGCATCGATGCTGGGCCGATCGGAAGCCCATCAGCATCGTTGCCAGCGGCCATGGAGCGGCATCTGGACTTGTGGTAGCGGGTGATGTGACGTTGGAGCAGGTCGGTACGGGTGAATGCTTCGTGGCAAAACTCGCATGCGTACGGCTTTTCCTTGGTATCTTCGACGACAAAAGAAGAGGCGGTGGAAGGAAGCCAGGGGAGGTGAGGGTGTTCAGTTCCCTCACACACACACACTCTCAGGGCTCGCTCATACTGATGCAACATCAGCGCAGGTTCCTGTCGTCGCCGATCGTCACACCCACTCACGAGCACTGCGACAATGGCGTTGGAGGGCGGAAGCACGCTGAAACGCTCGGCCGCAGTAGCTGCAGGCGTTGCGGTAGACTGCCTTTGGTTGTGTGCGACCAGCGGTCTGTAGCGGTGCTGCGGCCGCTGCTACGTGCGGCTTCGTGCCGTGCTCGCTGTCGGGCATGACTGCGCTCAACTCGGGGGAGGGTGGGGGGGAAGATAGTGCAGGTTGGGCTGGGGTCTGGGAAGCTTGCATTGAAGCTGGTTGGTTAGCCCCAAGGTGCGGAGGACGTGCGGTGGGGGAGGATCAGTTTGCGATGTTCTTGCAGTGGACGGAGTGAGCGTATATATATTGGTCTCTGGGTTGTGTCCAGGATTGGATTTCCTTTAGAGTGGATGTGTACCTGCGGACGGTTCCATATGGAAAGGAGAGATGGAGCGCGTGGAGTGACTCGATACTACTCCCATGAAATGGAGCAATCAATCAAGGAACGTTGTACATGCCGAATCAAACCCAATCAATCCACACCCTAATCCAAAAGTAACCATTCAACAATGGAAGCCACCACCTATCAGTCACGACCGACGCAATCCCGGACGAAGAGAGGTCAGTTTCTCCATCGACAGATCACAGCAAGCTGACAGGACGCCCCAGGTCCTGCCGCGAGGAAATACTCCACCAGCTGTTCCTGCATGCAGTTGTCATAAATATTCCCGATAGGGCGAGGCATGGAAGAGCATGGAAGAGTATGGCCAAGCTGGCCGGCGGCCATCTCCAAAGTTTAACCTCTGTTGTGTTGTGTTGTGTTGTGTTTTGTTATTGTATTATTATTAGGATTACCACCCTATTCCTGCATGGATGAAGACATTCAGACAGAATATATTCAGGCCCAGCACTGATTTATCCTACAAGTAACCGATTATCCATCACGTGGGAACGGTGTGCTCCTGACAGACTCCCCCTTTCCAGGCCAACAGTCTCGAACTACCTCTCAAGGTCATCGTCCTGCATCTATTGCAGTTCGCGGATTGAACGGTGGCAAGTGTCGTGCACCACATCTTGCTGTCGGCCAAAACGGATGGACGGCGAATATTTTTGAACGTGCATATGTATGTACGTAATTAACGAAACTATTCGGAACGACGATTGTCGAATGACAAGGGATTCCGACGGCGATGGAGCAAGATGACGGCACGTTCCAGGTTTCAGAAATTCAAAACGTAGAGGCATCAGTGGGTAGACTTTGCCGTGGCTGTTCTGCGCTAGCGTTATCTGAGACTCTGGTCTGTGGATCCCTTTCCGCTGTGGATCCCTTTCCGCTGTGGATTCCTGGTTGTAATGGGAGCTAAAGGGGCTCGTGGAGGAAATGGTGGATCCGCAGCTCAGGATGATCGAAGGTGGGCGAGTGATGGCACCTGCAGAAGGAATGAAACAAACAATGTGCTATCATCGCTCCAGGAATTGACAGCAAAGGATCCAGAAAGCTAGAATGGTATATGAGACCCGTCGATCCAGCCTGGAT